AAAGTTACTGTAAGTTCTATTGTTTTTATTCAGTGTTATTGAAATATGCTGTTTATGTTACATTACATTGACATTGAAAAGAAATGCATAGTAGCTGGAGAATTTCTTTTAGACAACCCCTATGCATTAATCTATTCACACAAAACTGTAGAGTACATGCACTAATTATGACTTTTCATTTCTGAAACTCTATCATTGATATTACATTCATAATTACACTGTTTTATAATACCAAAATCTAATCAACCTTCTTTTATGTACATAAGCATAATACTCCGTACAAAGAATACTGTTAATTAGCTACTTGTACCGTGCTAATCGGTATAGCCTAATACAATGTCATCCTATAATTTTGTTACAGTGGTACCACTATTATAAGTTTTCTCTCTTGCTTTTAATATTTAAAATATATCATAGCTCATAGTTACTAATTTTAGCCATCACCTTAAAATTAGTTATGTTATTACCTATTAAAATGAGCCAACTACTATTTTTTACAATTATTATTAAAGGCATTTTAATTTTTTAATGTAGCATTCAAATAGCTACCGTCCTCCACCTTATGGTCGTCCTCCTCCGGGTGATGGTCGTCGTCCTCCTCCTCCTCCCCCGGGTGATGGACGTCCGCCTCCTCCTCCACCGGGTGATGGGCGTCCTCCTCCTTCTCCCCTGGGTGATGGACGTCCTCCTCCTCCTCCCCCTACGTGTGACGGACGTCCTCCTCCTCCTCCCCAGGGTGATGAACGTCCTCCTCCTACTCCCCCAAGTGATGGATGTCCTCCTCCCCCGGGTGATGGACGTCCTCCACCTCCTCCCCCGGGTGATGGACATCCTCCTCCTCCCCCGGGTGATGGACATCCTCCTCCTCCTCCACCGGGTGATGGGCGTCCTCCTCCTTCTCCCCTGGGTGATGGACGTCCTCCTCCTCCTCCCCCTACGTGTGATGGACATCCTCCTCCTCCTCCCCAGGGTGATGAACGTCCTCCTCCTCCTCCCCCAAGTGATGGACGTCCTCCT